CTCCGGATCCGGCTCAGCTGCACCGGTCTCTCCACCCCACTTACTATTTCCTTTCTTCAGAGGCAAGCAGAGGCTGGACCAGCAGGACACGTGACTGACTTGGGAAAGGAGAGATCAAGTTAAATGATAGAGAGTAAAATTCTGTAGCCCCATGATGCAGCTCTCTTGAAGTTAAATATAGCCCACTTTATCCATGAAAAAAACAGTATTATGCTGTATTTGTTTAGTAGCAGTAGGAAATGTCTTGTACTAACTTAGTTGTACTGAATGTGTAACCCACATGCTTTTATTCTGCAGCATTTGACTTTGGCCCAAACAGAAATAGGAAGAAGTGGGGAGGAAAAACTTAGATTGTAGTTAGAATATTCTCTCAAAACCGGTAGTGGGGATGGCAGGGACAGAAGGGCCCCACAAGATCCAGAAATAGTAGACATACTCAGAACCCACTTCCAAGGCTGCATAGGAAGTTTGTAACATGGAAAAGCCCTCTGAAAGGTCACACACCTCCAAGAACTGACCCAAGCAGAGAGCAGATGAGAAGGTGATGTCTACCTAAGCTTGAGGACTCAAGGCCAAGAAATCTGTCTTCTGTAAGGACTGAGTTCCCACACCTGTGCCGCTTCAAGGATAAAACAGTGCCATTTCAGCTCCACTTACTAGGTAAGCCCTATGAAGAAAGTGTTTTGCCCACCATATTATATGGACTTAGTAGGAGAACTGAGTGGGAAGCCTATGGCATCTGTGGATACTACACAGCCTATGGAATTTGTCAGTAGCAACTATCCTTCACACTAGAGGATGATCACTTCCATGGGTCAAGTAAAGTGTTGTAAATGATTGGTTATTGTAGTAGATATTGGATCTAGCGCATGTGACTTGTTTTACAAAAGGGGGCCATTGCACATTAGCAACCACATGGATCTTGGTGGAGGAGTAACCTGTATCCAGTGGCAAAGAGATGCAAGATGACTGGGGTTACTCTTCCACTGAAGCCTTCATCCACCTTCCTAGCCATTGAGAAGTATGTCTTCTTCATCCACCTGTTCCAGTTTTTGGATCTTTACATTATGTTGGATTGCTCTTCATCTGATACCTCTTTTAACCTTACCACTACGGGTGACCCTACAGTGTAATGTGCAGTAATGTAGTACTTCACATTGAAGCTACTAAATTTAATGTGCATTAGAAAAGGTGCATTAATACACGTGTAGATGTACCCAGTATCTTCAACATTGAGAGGCTCGTAGGGGTTCTGGAAATGGATATTTTATATGTTAATGCTAATTCCTGTATTGCTTTGAATGTAATCTACAGATCTCAGTTTCATAAGCAGTCAACTATTAACCCAAGATGTGGAGTGATGCTGGCTATTTGCAGAAAGGGTTTGAAGTATTTGGAAAGGATGGAGATACTGCTGATACTCTCAAGCTCAGAAGAATCCAAAGTGACATATACCAGGTATTATGCTCACATTGTACATTATAGTCAAGATTAGGTGGCAAAATACAGAAGTATAAATGCAGTATCGAAACCATACATATGAAAATACAAAACAAACTGGACAAGGGTGTATGAGGAATACCAGTAAATTCATGGGCCAATAGCTTCTTTTAAAGCTTATTCATAGCATTCAGAAACCTATTTACAAAGTCTTCTACTATTTACTGTATTTTCTGTATGCATTAAATGTCTGTTTTCCTTAGAAACCAAACAGTACTCTCTCCTTGAAAGTTGACTAGAGACTATTATTAACACGTACTTATAAGGAATTTACATAGTATTGTAGCCCAAGGGGTTTAATCCTATGTAATGCTTTCTGATAAACCCTGAAACATACAACTATGGACTATATTTCAGCAAAGAATTAAGATACAGAAAGGAGAGGAATGTAAGAGGACTGTAGCCTAGGTACACATAGACTATGCTATTGATTTGCTTTTCAAAACAAAGAGAAGTAATCAAAGGGCAGAAGCTATCACCTATTTTTAGCCCTACTGTGTACTCACATGTGTGCAGTAATCTTTTGGAGGCTCCTTTTTCACATCGGCTGTTTGGATAGAAGACTAAACTAATGTAAACCTCATCTAAAATGGAGAAAAAAAGACTGATTTTTTCTTTCTTAGAGTTCATGCAAACAGACAGTGTATAGAGAACCCTTGACTTTCAAACTACTGCATATAGTTTTGGCTGACCTTTCACTATCTATCCATCTTTTAAAAAGTGATCTCACTTTGCAAAGGGCACACAAATTTGCAGATCTCCCCAGTCAGAAATTACTGCTACGTCGGAAAGTCCTTAGAAATAATACACAGCACCTCTTTAAGGGCTGGCGAGAAATCCCTGGCTTTATGGCTCTATAGTTGGTTGGCCCTATGGTGCAGCCTTCAGGCTTTTCTGATCATGACTGGGTTTGGAGTTGAAGCAGTTCCTGATCAAGAGGCCAAACCTCTTTGCCCCTTCCACAAGGCTGTGCATAGCAGAAGCCAAGAACCTGGGCACCTAGTATAATATTGTAACCTGGGCAGTACTCCAAGAGGTACCCCCTCTCCAATTGAAGAGATCAAAGCAGGTGCACAGCAGAACAAACAATATGGGTTGGTGAAATGTAAAAAGGCACAAAATGCAAAATGTCAAGGAAATATAGGGCCTTGGTACCTGCAGGGGAATCACAATGGCCCCTTTCCACTGCAAGAAGCTTTGCTTCTTGTTATCTCCCTCACCCCGAGTTACCTCAACAGGGACTTCCAGATCTCCCACATGGTAGGCAGGAACACTACCACACAGCCACCAGTGCTGGCACTCCTCCAACCTGCTAGGGGTCTTGACCTTCCAGGAGCCCCGGCCTCACCTCGAGCTGCCTGGCCTCTGACTGGAGGAGCTGGAAGCAGAGCTGGGATCCCCTCAGGTCACTGCTCAGATCCTTCCTGGACCAGGGGAGCCTCTCCCGCTGGCTGCAGCCTCTCGTAGGAGATCCTGGAGCCCAGTGGGGAGCCTCTCCTGCCAGCCACATGCCACGCTGCTGAGGGTCCCACTGCTGCCTGCAGGTCCTGCTCTTTCAGGCTCTTCTGGGGCACTGCTCCTGTCCCGACCTGCTGGCTCAGGTCTTGCCAGCTCTGTGAAGCCCCTTCCTTGTTGTCCCTCACTGGTCTCTCCCCTGAGTCAGCCAACGCTGCCCCTTTTATCCCCCTCCAGGTGACCCAAGGGGCCAATCGAGACACAGGCGGGGGGAGGGGGGAGTCTCTGGGGCCTGACTGGTGCAGAAAGGGAATCCCAAGTCCTCCAATCATCTTTTGCCCTTTCAAAACCCCTGGGCTAGATCATTGCCAGATAGCCTGTCACAATGCAAACATTTTATAGGGAGAAAAGGAGGTTACTGATATTTTTATAATGAACATATGCAGAATTGAAAGGAAACATTCTAATGTTAATACAGTGCTTCTATGGACTAATGAAGTGGAGAGAGAATATGCTAAGTAGGGGTGTGCAAAGCGAGCCCTATTCAATTAGGATTTGGCCTGAATTAGAGACAGTGCTTTGATTCATTGATTTGGACCACTGTCCCTGATTCGATTCAGCCAAATCTGAATCTGAAGATTCGATGCTGATTTGGAAAATCAGTGATTCGGACTTAGATACAGCTTTTCAAGTTTTTTCTACATACCTTGAGGTAACAGGGCGGCTCATAATTGCTGCAATGCTGGGGCGCATGGAGTATCCCACATTTAAAGCTGTGTCTATGTCCATATTGCTGAATCATTCCAAATCTATTCAGAGGGTTCCGATTTGATTCAGAGAAATTAAAGGGTCCTCTGATTCGATTCAGATTCAGAGAATCAGCCTCAGAATGGGGCCAAATCTCTGCCAAATCGAATCAGGGACTGAAGGTTTGCACAGCCCTAATGCTAAGGCACACCTTGTGGTGATAGGGTGAGGGTAAAGTGTTTGCTTTATTACAGTGACACCTTTCATAGCTAGGTTTAATTATACCACTTCTATGTCTGCCATTCCTTTATCAAATGCCTTTGCTGGTCTGGACATTAAGTTCCATCAGATACTTTTTCATACATTTGTTATTATTCCTACTACTTGCATTAAGAGTTTTAAAAAAACCCCACCTGCTTCAAAAGTACCAGGCTAAGCTTCCTCAGTTCCTGTTGTTGAAAGACAGAGAGCTGCCTGAATTAGCAGTTATTTGAATTGGGTCAGTTTTTAAAAAGACCACTTTTGTCCAGAGAGATCAGCTTTCATAGTTAATGGTTGGTAAATGTCCCTCACACAACACATGGACATGTAAGAGAAACCAAACAGGATCTGTGTCCTTCATGGCCTAGTTTATCAGGGCGTTCACTTGGTGAAAATGTAATGTAAATAGAGCTTCCAGCAAGAGGAAGCCACTTTTAAGTGTTTTTGCTTAATCAGCAGTAAGAAGGGAAAGAGAAAGATCAAGTGATCAGGTCACTGAGGAAAACTATACATATATTACAGCATAGCAGCATCAACCTATCAAAGCAGCTATTGGCTTATTTGGCCTAGAAATCATCTCAGTAATAGAAAAGATGCACACAGTGAGTGTGTAGACAAATATGTTGCAAAAGGAACCTATTTTTTCCAGGGCAGAGAACTTAAGTGCAAGGTATATCGCACACCTAAATCTTACCATAGACGGGTGCTTATACAAGGGAGATATGGCTAGAATGGTCATGGAAGTAATAAAACAGGATGGTCCAGAGACAGATTTTAATATCTGAATGGAAGCATCCATGCAGATGTCATAGCCCTAAACCTTACAATGGGAACATGAAAACAGTGACATGGTTCTTCCAGCCATTTGGCTAGTAAATTACAGCTGTGGCTAGGCGACGTTGCAGCATTGAGTAGAAGGGTGTCCTTACTCCATTAAGGTTCGCACACAAAGGCCAGTTGTTTGAACTTTATTTGATTTGTCTGAGTTAGTTTGTTAACCAGAGTTGCTCAAGTTCAAATCCTTTGTCAATGACCTTACAGTGGGTATAAAGGAATGTAGGTGCTTCAGAGCCACCCTCAGGCAGTCTATTGCTGGGTAAAGTTATACATTACACTCAGACCTTACTAAATATGTCGAATGTTAAGCAATGGTAAGTTAGAACGTGCTGTGAGCAGTTGCACATTAAGGGTTAATACTGTTTCTTGCCCGTACAGCTCTTACTTGCCACTTAGAAGGCTAGCAAGAAGGCATGTGGGTAGGAGCCAGGATACCTGCTCTGGGTGAGAGGAGGGCTGAAAGCAATGCATTCTGGGATGCTGGAGGGCTACAAATTGTTCATTTTATCTCTGGAGCAGACT